CAGATCTTGGGTCTCTTCAGGAGATCCCTTCATAGTATCGTTATCATTTGTCGATTTTCTTTTTTGAGGATTTCGATCCTTAGAACCCAAAGGCCTACCACGCTTCAGGCGTGCTTTAGGTTCACTAGCTCTCATGCTAGTAGATAGTCCTGCTGGGACATCAATTCGGATAGGCACATTCTCTGCAGGGATATGTGACTTAGTTATCCTATTCAAATTAGTAAATGCGTGTGGCATTTGATTTGCTATATTTTGTAAATAGATGATCTTCTGGACCTCCTGATTACATATAGGGGTACGTGGATTAAAATGAGATAACGATAAAACTTTTCACACAATTTCTCTTTTGATTTCCCTTTTCTCTCCCCCTAATTGTGAAAAATTTATTTCATCAAATTGACAATCTGTAAATCTAGTAGTAAATAAATCTCCCGTCAATGGTTCAAGATAGCGAATAATAGAGGGTGATTCAAACCCAATATATATTCCTAACCTTCTTTGGGGGGCCATTTTACTGCGCTGTGATGGTGCTACTGGCACATATACAGCACATCCAAAAATTCGTAGATGGGCTATATTTGGTTCATGACCAAAAACTAATTGTGATAGAGAATATTTATTATAATGTGTCGGTCTGAGACGAATAAGTGATGTTGCATGCAAGATAGCATGGCCCCAAACAGTAGTGGGCAATTTTATTTTCATAAGTAGTGGTCTTGCTATCAATTGCATGCGTTTAATAAATGACTCTGCAAGGCCATTTTGAGTATGAACATAAGCTACAGGATGTTCAACTTTTATCCCAACTGATAGACAATAATCATCAAAAGCTTGAGATGAGAATTCTCCAGCATTATCAAGGCGAATAGCCTTTATAGGATAATCTGGGAATTGTGCCCTTAATCGAATTATTTGGGCTAATAGCTTTGCAAACGCCAGGTTGTGAGATGATAGTAGGCACACATACGACTATCTTGAAGATGCATCTATTAGGACCATAAAATATCTAAACAGCCCACTTGGTGGATGAATAGGTCCACATATATCCCCATGTATACGTTCTAAAAAGGCAGGGGATTAAATGTCAGCCTTCATTGGTGATGGCCTAGTGTTTGCCTTGATAACAAACATCACAAGAAAATTCATTATTTGTAAGAATTTTCATGTTCTTTAATGGATGCCCACTCGAATTTTCAGTAATTCGTCTAACCATACCATGCCAAAGCACAAAAATATTTGAATCAGTAAACTTCTGGTTTACGATAGAGTGTGCTTCAACTGTACTAATCTTTGAATAGTATAAGCCAGAAGATAGAGTTGGTAACTTTTCTACAATGCACTTCTGGTCAGAAACATTCTTTGTAATACAAAGATATTCCATATTCATTTCATCTATTGTCTCAACATGATACCCATTTCGGCGGATATCTATAAAACTCAACAAGTTTTTTCGGGGCTTGGAGGAAAATAATGCATTATCTATAATAAGTTTTGTTCCCTTAGACAGAAATATAGTGGCTCTTCCGGAGCCTTCAATCAAACTTATATTACCAGAAATTGTTGAAATATTTACTTTTTTCCTTATGCAAATAAGAAAAGTATTTCTAATCTTTGAATATGGCATGAGTTGTTCCACTATCAATTATACAAATATCTTCATGATTGGTCTTTGATCCAAACATAATTTGAGGATTATCCATATTTTTTAAAATGACATAAACAAAATAAATATGATAGTAAACATCATTATCAAAGAATAACTTTTATTTATGTACAACAATTACATAACCATACTATCTTTCACAAACAACAAAAATTAAAATATTTACATTTCTACAGATTCATCACCGATCACATGACTTGTTTCTCCTTCCGGGAGTGCAAAGTAATCAGCTATATCCAAATGCATGAAGTCTAAATTATCTTCAGAAATAAAATTTTCTTCAGCATTTTTCTCTGTCTTCTTCAGGGAGGCTTGATACAGCTCAACCAGGTGCTTTGGCGTACGACAGGTACATGACCAGTGCCCTTCTCCTCCACATCTATAGCATGCATTTTCTGCCTTTGCTGCTTGCACCGCTTCATGCTTTTGTTCCTTCCTTTTCCATTGCTGGTAGTGAGGAGGGTTCTTTGGTGCATTATTATTACCATGATTAGAGTTTCTTCCCCGATCATGGCCATGACCACGACTAGGGCCACGTCCTCTTCCACGCTTAGCTTGGTGGAACTTCGTCTCATTCACTTCATGGAATGGACAAGAACCAGTAGGTCGGCTTTTATGGTTTTTCATTAATAACCCATTATGTTACTCGGCTACAAGAAGATGTGAGATAAGTTCAGAATACTTTTTGAATCATATCTCTCGATATTACTGCTGCAGGAGCATATTCGAGGCATGAAAAATGGTGAAAATTTTCTCCAACATATCATGATCAGTAATATTATCACCACATAATTTCAATTGAGAAATAATTCTAAACATAGCAGAACTATACTCACTAATAGATTTAAAATCTTGTAGCCTTAGATGAGTCCAATCATAACGTGCATGTAGAAGAACGATCATCTTCAGGTGGTCATATATATCTTTCAAATTATTCCACAGTATGACTTATCTTTAATAGTGAGATATTCCATTTTCGAGCCTTTATCAAGGTGATGGCGTAGGAATATCATTGCTTTGGCACAATATTGATTTGATGCTTGATTTTTGTCCATGATGGTGTCTGCTAGACCCATAGCATCAAGATGAATTTCAGCATCAAGCACCCAAGACATGTAGCTTTTGCCCGATATATCCAGGGCTACAAACTCAACTTTAGAAAGATTTGACATTATTTAAAAAAAGAAAATTCGTACCTCTAATACTTTCAAAGTATTTGCTCAAGATTGCAGAGTCTCGTGCTGATAACGTGTTATAAGATAAAGACTGTAAAGTAAAGACAAGTATAGAGAAAAACTGATATATTATTCAAACTTCAAACTTATGTACACAATGAACTGAATTCTCCTCTATTTATAGAAGAAAGGAAGCTGTTGTGTAAGCTGCTACTGCAAGCTGCTGTGTAAGCTACTTGTAAGCTGCTACTGCAAGCTGCTGTGCCTGTAAGCTCCTTGTACCAGATATAGATAATCTTCCACCAGTGGTAATATTTATCCATAACGGAGTACCGAAAGGATAAGCTTATTGTACCAGATATAGATAATCTTCTACCGGGGGTAATATTTATCCATAACGGAGTACCGAAAGGATAAGCTCATTGTACCAGATATAGATAATCTTCTATATCCATAACGGAGTACCGAAAGAATAAGCTTTTTTAGGAAGTTTATTTTCAATAAAGTATTAAATAGATAAACATATTTACGGCAGAATTCCATATGAATAAACTTTTTTAGAAATCTTTTTTCTAACGAAATACTAAATAAATATCCATAATATAATATATTCATAACAAAAATGAAATATTATGATGTTATTATACAAGCATTGTTCGACTCGAACTATTAAATAATTCTTCAGTAGTCTAGGTTGATGCATGCACTATGATTGCCGGTCTTTATTTTACAATATTAAATCTAATGACTTTATCTTATTTTACAATATTAAAAGATCATAGGTAGCTGCTAATGAACTAGGAACCCATGCCATAAATTTATTGGGATCCGCATTTGATACTTTCATGAAGGCTCACGTGTAAATTGCATATTTGAATTATAAAAATGCAAAGAAAAGTAGTTACTAGAAGTAAAAGTCAATTTATTTGAATATTGTTTTTAACCTAACCTGCATTCACCTTACTTTATCAATAAAATAAAATTTACCATCTAAGCAAGGAAATTAATTACGACTAGTTTTTATGCATAGTAAGAAAAAGATTTAAAAATATTTTTGTGCATTAACTAATAATAACTTAATAAAAATGCTTAGTAACATGCTACTTACATACTTCCTCCATTCTCTTTTACATCCCTTATAAATAAAATATTCCTTTTACTTATTCACTTTAACAAAACAAGAGGGCTTAATTGTTTTCTTTCGGTATACCCTTAGTATTAAGTACCCATACTCCTCAATTTTATTGGAGTTACTACTTTAATAACTAAACTCTTAATAAATAATTTCTTAAAAAGCGTGCTTAATCAATAGAGGACTAATAAAAAAGAAACGGAGGAAATACTCTATCTTTAACAATAAAAGTCTCTATTTTTATGTTGTCACTTTATGTAACTTAGATCCTTAGTAAATTGGTGTAGCGAGTCACTTCATTATTGTTTTGCGACAAAGAAGTTGAACTTATCATAAATGCATATTATTTAACAATTAACTAAATAGAATTACATACATACACGTATTTGTGAGTTAGAAACCACCCTAACCCTGGGAACCGGGGCCTGGCCATCCTTCGTTTGCGGTCGACGTTCCGGCTTTGTCCGTCGACAGCTGAATGTTTCGATCTGGTTCGATTCATGATCGCATCTGCAAACCTTATCCCGTGGGCTTTAGCGGACGTTTTTCATTCTTCACCCGGTCCTTAGTAGCCTTTCCAAAGTCAACCTAACCGGTTACCTTTTCCAAGGCGCTAAATAGGCCTTCGCCCTTACGCCTTTATATATAATAGAAGAAAATTAGATAGTTGTATATAGAATTAGCCAGATCGTCTGAAGCATGAACAGAATCGCCTTTGTTCTGAAGGCCTAGCNGCGCTAAATAGGCCTTCGCCCTTACGCCTTTCTGTCCACCGCCCTTCTCACGGAGCCGTACGTGGACGTTACCGCTCATACAGCTCCCAGCCAGCAAGCAGTTAAGTCTTAACCATGATAATCCAAAATAAGAAAGTAAAAATTAATTTTTCAATGTGTACTAATGATGGTAATTGGTAAATTCTTATCTAGTTATTACTATAGTATAAAAGCCAAAACAAGCAAATAAAAAAAAGGTTGAATTAGAACTTATCCAATACAACTCAATTATATATATATCCCTTACTTCAATCAAACACAATCAGATTTTAACTATTACAAACCTAACAAACAACAAACAACTCTCTTCTTCTTCTTCTACATCTCCTCTCTCAATATTCATTTCCTTTTTCCCAATGGCAACGAGAAAAAACTTCCTCTTTCTCGGAGGAAAAGACAGAATTACCCCTCTCCCATCTAGCAGCCTCCAGTTTGAATTTGATGAAGCTGAAACATGGTGTAACAACACTAGTTCAAACGAAAATGTTGTTCATAATTCTGAAGCCAAAATATCAATACCAAATTCAAAATTCTTGAAAAAACCAGGGAAAAAGAGTGAAAGATCAAGGGCAATTTCGTCAACATCATTGCCAGTGAATATACCGAATTGGTCGAAAATCTTAGGTGATGAGTACAGGAGTTGTCCGAAAGAAATTGATGATAATAATGTTGTTGAGGATTTTGATTATGAAAGTGGAATTCCACCACATGAATATTTAGCAAGAACAAGAGTTGCTTCTTTTTCAGTACATGAAGGTATTGGAAGAACACTTAAAGGAAGAGATTTGAGTAGGGTAAGAAATGCTATTTGGAAACAAACTGGTTTTGAAGATTAGTAAATCTTGATTAATTAGCAAGAGCAACAGTAAATTTTCTCTGTGACTTAGATTTAAGATGTGGTTGATTGTCGGTAGCCTATATTACATCTCTTATGGTGCGGTCCTTTTCTATTAATATGTGTGAATACGAGATACTTTATTCACTGAGATACTTTTTTGAGTTTTTTTTATTGGATGAATGGGTTAATTTTTGTAAGTTATTAAGGGGTTGGATTGATCCTCTAGTTTTGATGGTTATCTTTTAGTTGTGACTTCAATTCAGAGGATCTAATGTAATGTAAGTTTGTGTTACCTTATTCACATTTCTTTCCTTAGATTTTGCATAATCTTTTGGATTTTTGAATTGAATATCAATCTAGGGATCAGTTTGTAATTTTAAACTTGATGAGTTTTGGATTTGTACTGTGGAATCTTATCACCTAATTAATTTATTTTTTCTTTGATTAATATATAATGTTATTCACTTTTCTTTCTTTCATGTAGATAGATACCTTTTGCTTTATGACTTTGATTTGCTTTTCACCAAAAGCCATACAAAAGAAAAGGATATTAACATATATTGCATGTTAGAAATGCACTTACTAATGATTATTCTATGTGCAATTCACAAATTTCATATATATATTTAGTATACCGAAAACTTTTATTATTTCTTTGTACCAAATGATAGATAAGTAAAGGAGTTGCAAATCATGTTCATAGTTTTTGGTTTAGTTGCTTTTGTTTCTTGCTTTTTGTAGTTAAAAACTTTTTGGGTTAGCATGGAAATAAATAACAAAAATATGGAAGTTTGTATAGAAAATTCATTTTATATATATATA